CCCCCTTTTTTTGCAGTTTCACTTTCACTCACATCTGTAACTTGATTATGTAAGGAAAAGCACCATGCTGATGATCTCATCTCTCTGGCACTCTGCTCTTTCCTCCTATTAGAATGTGCATTGTACTCCTTGTACTGTTTCTCCCTTCCCCTCCCTGTGCTCTGCTGTACAGACTGCACAGAAGTGAGTACACCCCTCACATTTGTGTAAATATTTTATTATATCATTTCATGTGACGACACAGAAGAAATTACACTTTGCTACAATGTAGAGTAGTGAATGTACAGCTTGTATATCAGTGTACATTTGCTGTACCCTCAAAATAACAACACACTGCCATTAATGTCTAAACCTCTGGCAACAAAAGTGAGTACACCCCTAAGTGAAAATGTCTAAATTGGGCCCAATTAGCCATTTTCCTCCCCGGTGTCATGTGACTTGTTAGTGTTACAAGGTCTCAGGTGTGAATGGGGAGCAGGTGTGTTAAATTTGGTGTTATCGCTCTCACTCTCTCATACTGGTCATTGGAAATTCAACATGGCAAAGAACTCTGAGGATCTGAAACTAAGAATTCTTGCTCTACATAAAGATGGATTAGGCTATAAGAAGATTGCCAAGACCCTGAAACTTAGCTGCAGCACGATGGCCAGGACCATACAGCGGTTTACCAGGACAGGTTCCACTCAGAACAGGCCTCACCATGTTCGACCAAAGCAAAGAAGTTGAGTGCACGTGCTCAGCATCATATCCAAAGGTTGTCTTTGGGAAATAGACGTATGAGTGCTGCCAGCATTGCTGCAGAGGTTGAAGGGGTGGGGGTCAGCCTGTCAGTGCTCACACCATACACCGCATCAAATTGGTCTGCATGGCTGTCGTCCCAGAAGGAAGCCTCTTCTAAAGATAATGCACAAGAAAGCCCACAAACAGTTTGCTGGAGACAAGCAGACTAAGGACATGGATTACTGGAACCATGTCCTGTGGTCTGATGAGACCAAGATAAACTTATTTGGTTCAGATGGTGTCAAGCGTGTGTGGCAGCAACCAGGTGAGGTGTACAAAGACAAGTGTGTCTTGCCTACAGTCAAGCATGGTGGTGGGAGTGTCATGGTCTGGGGGTGCATGAGTGCACCGGCACTGGGGAGCTACAGTTCATTGAGGGAACCACGAATGCCAACATGTACTGTGACATACTGAAGCAGAGCATGATCCCCCTCCCTTCGGAGACTGGGCCACAGGGCAGTATTCCAACATGATAACGACCCCAAACACACCTTCAAGACGACCACTGCCTTGCTAAAGAAGCTGAGGGTAAAGGTGATGGACCGGCCGAGCATGTCTCCAGACCTAAACCCTATTGAGCATCTGTGGGGCATCCTCAAACGGAAGGTGGAGGAGCGCAAGTTCTCTAACATCCACCAGCTCAGTGATGTCATCATGGAGGAATGGAAGAGGACTCCAGTGGCAACCTGTGAAGCTCTGGTGAACTCCATGCCCAAGAGGGTTAAGGCAGTGCTGGAAAATAATGGTGGCCACACAAAATATTGACACTTTGGGCCCAATTTGGACATTTTCACTTAGGGGTGTACTCACTTTTGTTGCCAGCGGTTTAGACATTAATGGCTGTGTGTTGAGTTATTTTGAGGGGACAGCAAATGTACACTGATATACAAGCTGTACACTCACTACTTTACATTGTAGCAAAGTGTCATTTCTTCTGTGTCGTCACATGAAATTATATCATAAAATATTTACAAAAATGTGAGGGGTGTACTCACTTCTGTGAGATACTATATCCTCAGCTCCAACCATTATATATAATCATTGTAAGTACTGCAAAGAGAACTCGCCTAAAATGGGACTTGCCATGAAATTATGCATTCCTTCCATGGCAAAATAAAATGTTCTGTTCTGTTCTGAAAAACTATCTTAAATATAATAACCCTCATGTAACAACAAATACATGTATCGAAATGTTCATTATAAAAATGTGTCATATTATAAAAACTTACTTTTTAGATAATCCGAACCCAAAGGAGCACCTTCCAAGCTGCGTGTCGACAGGATTTTATATATCTCGGAATGTTCCCCTTCGGGGACAAAATTAAATATACTCTGATCAACCAGATCAGACTAAAAGAGAAGAAAATATATATTAGCCCTATACCTATGGCAGCAAAACATTTATCATTGTGAATATTAATGTAGCACTCCAGGCAAAACCAGCTGAACAAAAAGTGTGGGAAGGTCTCTTTAATGGTGGCACAAATGTCAATGTAAAAAAAAAAGAAGAAAGGTTCCTTCCGCCTTGCAGTGAGTTAACTGCTTGTTTGTTCTACGGGGCTCAAATAAATCAGATACACTCACCTAAACCTCGGTTCCGCCGGGCTGCTGGACACAGCCTGTTCTTGCCCGGGCTCCGGCGGTCTAACTATCACTGACGTCATTACATCTAAATGAAGATCCACTGACTTGCATTAGATGCGAGGACGCCGAGGGGGAGTGAGGTGAGTGCTGACCACTGCGAGACCGAGAATCTGGTAAATATATCTGCTTTATCAGACAAAACGAGCACTTAATCCTTGCAGTGCAGAGCTCCAAGCTCACTCCTGTGATGGACTACAATCTCACATTTAGTTTACTAATTTGTATTGATATGGTAGTCCATCATAGGAGTGAGCTTGAAGTGTTAGCTACTTTACAACACACAGGGACCACGGGGAACAAAAGTAGCCACCCTACAGGAGGAAGGACAGTGTCAACATGAATTCAGAGTAGAATTCCTCTACTTCCTGGTCCAGTTCTGGCACAAATGATGTGAGTGCCAAAGAATTGCATTTTGGGAAGGTTACATCTGGGAAATGTCATGAGATCTCAGAGAAAGGCATTTTCCTCCCCTAAGATGATGTGCATGGTCACATGTGTCAGAGTTCCAGGAAGTAAAGGGAGATCTAGTAATCTGCCCTTAGTTAACATGGCCACTGCCAGAACACTGGGAAAGAAAAGAGCAATAATGTATGCAAAGAATACAAAGCTGGCAATTATCTGGAAGTATGTGTTTGTAGTTTGCCATTACTACACATTTCTCAAGGTGTGTTTGTTGTTATTTTAAAGATATGGGTAAAGTTCCACTTTAAGGCAGCTCATTCCAATGCACTGAAAAAACGTACATGACTGTTTTTTGCCAACACAGCACACCACAGTTGGTATGTGCATTGCGATGCACTGCTTTTCATTTGTGTTGGCCGCTACTGTATTATGCGTTACAGTGCCATTCACAATAAATGGCAGCGCAACACAAGTCTTTTTTCTTTTCCTAAAATACCCATTTTCCTAAAATGGGTATTTTAACATATGTACCAACATTTTTTTTACAATTGTTTAGGCAGCAAACGGGGTTAAAGGAACTTAGCTGTCGTTTAAGGAAAAATAATCAAATTAAGTTGCAGTAATAAAGATTCTTTTCTCGATGGTTAAATCGTATCCAGATAAAAAAAACTCTTTTGTCCTTTTTAACAGGAAATCTTTCATAGAAAAGCACAATACCGCAGATTTTGGCACAAAAGAATGAAATTCGCTCTTTTACTTACAGGTAAGTGTTCAAGTAAGGGCGTAACACTCTCCGACACATAGATTATATTTCCATCTGTCATAACAGCCAAGAAAAATCCATCCAGGGCCTAAAATCAAACGGTAAACATACCTTTACTGTAGATTTTCCTGAACAATTGCAATATATGGAACGCTATTAGCCATGTGCAAAGGGCACTTCATCATATAAAGATACATATTTGCCAATCAGCTGAAAATGATCAGCTTAACCATCTTTATTACTATCCATTTTTTGAACTTTACAGTTAATTTTCTTTATTTTCCCTTGGATGTACTCAAATTTTTTTTTTTACAAAATGTGTTTTGTATACTATGTGCACTGTGACTGGATGAGCATGTGTTTGTTTTTTCCATTCTCAAAAATGGACACCCAACACATTTTATCATATACATTTATAGCTGCTGCAGGGCAATGGAGAAACAAAACAAAAGATCACTCCTACCTCCAACATGAGCTGTGTAAATTCCTCATTACTAAGGAAAGCTGGCTTCCAGTCTTGTCGAATCTCACTAGCATCAGACTGAGCACTAATTTCTGTAGATAATATGTGAGAGTTAATACTAAACACACACAACAATATACGCATATTTGTTGGGATATGTGGCAAAAATAGAACCAATAGATAATAAAACAAAGAAGCTATTAGCATCGATTCTTTGAAATGAAGGCACTGTCCGGTTCCGTGAACTCTGAAAGACACCACTGACAATATAACAATAATCATACACATACCTTTGTGCTTGCGCAGGAAGTCGATGCTTTTCTGCAGCACTGTGGATTTATCCATCTTCCTGGCATTGCCTGGCAGCATAGAGCCAAGTTCCTTAATGAGAACATTGAACTGATCTCTGCGCTTCTTCTCTGATTTGTTCCGAGACACTCTGTAAAAAAAAAAAATATATATGTCTTTACATTCAATAACCATCAAATAAAAGAATTTAAATAAGGGGTCCACAAACTCTTCAATTCATCAACCACTTTATGATTGTTCGACTCCCAACATTTATTATAAGAAAATGAGGGGTTGTATATAAGGCTTCATAGCATCATTACTAAAGGTCTTTTCACATGATAGGCACATAGGCAACATTTCCTTGGTAAGTTATGAATCCAAATTTTAGATATTCTTGGTAATACTCTCAACACTTCTTTGTATCAGAAGCTACCATTATGGCTATTACAATACTGATATTTTTGTGAACACACTGTAATCAGTTATTTGGCACCACTCCGTTTGCTATGGGTGTACTCACTGGCTCTCCAACAGAGTTTGAGGTGGGTGTACTCACTGGCTCTCTAACAGGATTTAAGGTGGGAAAGTTTGCTCCGTATGGTTAGTCAACACATATACGCAGCACAATGCACAACTGAGAGTCACAACTCAAGGCTGACTATTCAACCCTGTGTGACAATGTCTTGTCGTTAATCACCTCACCTTCTGGACTAGGGATCATCATGGAGCTCTACAGAGACTGCAAACTATTAACTGACCCTAATCGACCTTTCATCGGCCCTCCTTACCCTCTTGTCTTGAATTGTATTGTGACTGTAATGTCTTCCTCATATTGTAAAGGCAAACACCTACTGACACCCTACATAGTCCCATTAACACTTGGCTGTCAATATTGACAACTTTGGGGAACCCCGATTTAAAATGTAATTTAGCAGTATTAAAACACAAATTGGTCTGAATCCACAAAGCTTACACAGACAAGCATCTTTATTATTTTTTTTAAATGGAGTTATTTTTTGTCAACTCCAATGAGACTTGAACATTACAGCCATATTGCTGAAAACAAAGACTTGGTATCCTTGTGTAAAGGTTTGAAAATTAAAGGAGAACTATGAGATGAGTGATTTCCACTCACCTCATAGTTCTAGCCGAACTGTGACAATGAGACTGTCACAGGTCGGCTCAGTAGATCGGGAGGTGAGCGAACACATACCAGGTTCGCTCACCTCTCGATCCTGTCACGGCTCTCTGCCGTGACAGGGGGAGGGGCTGGATTCCCCTCTCCCCGCTCCGATCTGCCAGCGCTGACTGGCGGAACGGACGGGGGAGGGGGCGGGTACAGCTGGCTCTGCCTCTAGATAGGCAGAGCCAGCTGTCACTCACGCAGCTGGGCGGATCCCGTCATCTAAGTCGGGATCCGCTCCGGCTGCGGCGGCTCAGTATACCGCGAGCTGTAGCTCGCGGTATACTGAGCTTAGGGTAACGGGAGGACGCTAGTTTGTGTCCTCCCGTTACCCTAAGGAGAACTATGGGGAAAAACACTGACCCCATAGTTCTCCTTTAAGCCTATGGTCACATTGGGCTTTTAACTGCATTTTAGATAAAGCGCTGTAACCAAACATGCAAATTATTTCACACCTGAAGAGGTCCATATTTCTTAGTAAAACTGTGCAGACGGGCATTCCTAAAATGCCTTATTCTGTATCTCTGAGAAAAGGCCACACACAGCAAGCATGGGGGATGAGAAAAGCTAGATCTTGACCAGTAATGTACAGAGACTGTAAAATAGAAACAAACTACCCCATTCGTACAGAGAACCCCCATGGGTGTCACTGACATCATCATTGAGTTTTGTAACAGTAGGAGGTGGGCAGAACTAGTAATTCTGGTGGAGACTATCACCAGTGCCTTCAAGAGGTAACACTGCAAACACTTACATATCAGTTTTGGGCACCACTGGACATTAAATCTGGGACTATTTAGTGTAGCTATTCATTAGATGAATAAATAGATTACAGCCTTGACCTATCTACTCTCCTTCTTGATTATTTGCTTAGCAGCAGACGATAGCAGCTGGTGCTATATTAGCAAGGTCATATATATGAACAATATTTTCTTACAAAGAATTGGATTAAACCTTTCCATTCCCCAACCTTGTAAACAGTGGTACCCAACTAATCTGTTCTACTGGCTGGCTGTTTTACCAAATCTAAGTAGACTAAACAGCACTGCTAGTGACAAACTTATTTTCACATTTTAGTCAAGTGTTCGTAGCTAAATACTTAAAACTAGGGCTGCCCGATACTAGTAACGGTGCCGGTGCCAATACCGAGTATTTGAGCGAGTACTCGTACTCACCCAAATGCTCCAAAACCTTCCCTGATACCGGAACTTCTGGTCAGAGGAAGGGGACCATGCAGCCAACCTCCAGAGCGATCAGGAAGCTGGGCGGCAAGTAATGACCCGCTTCCCTGATTGGCCGGTAAGCCAGTTCCATGATGACTGGCCAGGAAGCCGGCTTCCCAGCCAATCAACATCGAGCCGGCCAAACAGCCAGCTCCTTGCCGATTGGCCGAGAAGCCGGCTTCCCGGCCAAATCAGCATCGAGCCGGCTTCCCGGCCAATCAGGAAGCTGGGAGGCGGATCATTACTCGCCACCCAGCTTCCAGATTGCCGGGAAGCTGGCTCGATGCTGAATGGCTGGGAAGTCAGTTTCCCGGCCAATCACAATCAAGCTGGCCAGACAACATGGAGCCGGCTTCTCTGGCAATCGGATTGCCCGGTAAAGCCTGCTCCATGCCAGCGGAAGAATCGATATTGGTACTGACGAGTACAGAAATCAAAGTATCGGTGCATCCCTACTTAAAACCACATCAAATCACTCCTTCTAGTTACTAACATTTGCCTGCAGAGAGTAGTGACACATGACTAATGGAGAAAGGTAGAAGGCTGTGAATGACAGCCTGGCTTCACCTGCCTACTTTATGCTATATGAGATGCACCCAACTGGGGAATGGCATGTCATCTGGGTAGAAACTGCAGCACAGTTCACCAATTATGCACCCCAGCATTGTTTACTAGCTGAATAGCTTGATAGTATTTTCTGTAAACACTGGAAAAGAGAAATGTTGCGTTAAATAGTAGCAGAGCCACAAATAAATACGCACAGTCCTCTGGAGATGAAAGTGATTACATTAAAAGCAACTGTATCATGTAGACCTGTATGCCTTTGGTATGTCATATATTAAAGCAAAGCAACATAGAAAAGAGATAAAATTACTGCATATTCTACAAAGATATTCTAAAATAGCCTGAACAGATTCATTAGTACCTCTAGAAAAGCATATAAATATTTGGAACATGGTGATATTTCAAACTGTTTCCTGTAATTAGTGTAATGCAGATACTATGCTGGTAAAAAAAGCTAGCCTGGAATTTAGTAAAAGGCATATTGAGAAGCCCCAATACTTCTAGGAGAACGTCCTTTGGACAGATGAGACAAAACTGGAACTTTTTAGGAAATGTCACATAAGCTCTATGTTGATAGATTAAAAAAATGGACCTTTCAAAGAAAATTAATATACTGTGCCTACGGTGAAATGTGGAGACTTGGTTATTATTAGGGGCGCTTTGCTGCGTTTGGCACAGGGTGCCTTCAATCTCTGCAGGGCACAATGAAATCTCTATATCAAGGAATCCTGTAGCAAAACGTACTGCCTAATGTCAAAAAGGTCTGTCTCCGTCACAAATCAAGGGTCCACCAACAAGGTAATGACCCAAAACACTTAGCCATTCTTGGGTGCTTTTAGCTAAGAACAAAATATTGAACTATTCTGAAATGACCTTCTGTGAGCTCTGTTCTCAGATATGGTGTAATGCACTTACCTTTTTGCTTTATCCTTGTCATCTTCTTCAACAAGTCCATCAAATATACTCCCGTCATCTCTAAAACAGGAAGTCACAAGTGTCATTACTAACTACATACACATGTATCAATTTAAAGCACGGCTAAAAGCATGGCCTTTTACTTAGGAGAAATGTTTCACTGACAGCTCTTAGGAGAAGGATATTTGTAAAACAGCTTCATAGACATGAAAGGCCCATGGACATAACTGTGTCTCAGTCCATAGGCAGGGCTATAGCATTTACGTTGCTCCAAGAATGAATTAATGATGTGGCGTATACAGGCTCCAGCCTTTCATTATAAACCATCTTGTGTGTGTAAAGCTGCAACGGGCAGAAAAAAAACCCCTCTATTCACACTTGTGAATCTGCATTTCTATGCGTTCTTAAGCTTTAATGCCTTATGCATATTTGGTTTGGCCTATAAAGGTGAACTAGAGTATAGGTTGCTAGGGCTGAGGGCTTTTGATGATAAACCGTCCAAAAAATGCATGTTAGATGTGTTTGTCATGTGTACCCATTGAAGCGTAGGTGGCTAAAAATGCACCAATATTTAAGACATGACAAAGGAGTGCAGACACTGTATACTTGGAATCTCCATTTGTTCAACTGAAACTTCAGATTGATCTGCCCTAAAAAGGGATGAATTTCTTATCTTGGCAAATTTCAGCTTGAGCAATTGAGATTTGTAAACAGGTCTTTTTCAATAGGTTGTAAAGGGACACACACAAATGTGAAAGGAGACAAAAGCTACACCTATTGACTCTAAAAATAAAAATATATAATATTATAGGTGCAAACCCACTATGCCGTCCCTTTTAAGATCTTAACATTTCTATCATTACATACTATATGAATATGTTTTTACATCAGAGTTCTTCCCTATGTAAAAGTAAATGTCACCATCTCAATATTGCTATATATTTCCGATAAGATACAATAAACTCACTATAGACAAAACAAAACATGAGCAGTCTCATTAAAAAAATTAAAAGAAGAAGTTGCTAATGGGGAATCTAACCCACATTGGATAAGCCAAGTAGTGTTCATTGTGTAGCTGAGCTGGAGCGTAGAACACTGCTGGTTCCAGAAATCCAACTCTTTTTGACCAAGGTTCTGTTTTTACAGTATGAACAATATGCTCCACACTACCAGACACAGCAAAGCTTCACCCACAACACAAATTCAATATCTAACTTACCTGTCAGCAATGGAGCTCATCTTAGGGCAGCAGCTTATGGAAAGAAGCAGAAAATGCCACACTTTAGCCTTGTAGGAGACATTTGTATGCCGGTCTGTAAAAAGATTGAAGAGGGTGAAAATGAGTAAACCGGTCTAAAATGAAACTAAACAATACATTTATTTATGTGCTTGATTAAAAAAAAAAAAAAAAAAAAAACTGGCAATGTATTTCGAAACACGCAGACTAAGCTATTACTTTACAACAAATTAAAACAACATCTGTAATAATTAACCTGGAGCGCCAATAAAATAAATCAGCTCCTTCCTATGATTTGCTCCCAGACTCGCTTTCAGCAGTCATTCGCTATGTTTACTTTCTGCTGCCGTAATCATGACCAGGCAGCTACCAATTGAAGCAAATAACATTCAGGAGCAAACAAAGTTCACTAGTAATACTATGGTCTCGTTCACACCTAGGCGTATTGCATATGCGCGATTCGCGGTAAAAAAGTTGCGCGACCGTCGCGCGTTTCCGAAGGCTACTTGGCTGTATCCCAATGGAAACGCGCAACAAAACGGCCCAAAGTAGTACCTGTACCTTTTCAGGCGTGGGCCGTTTTGTAGCGCGTTAGGGACGGGCGGAAATACGCCAAGGTGGGAACGAGACCATTGAATACAATGGGATTTATATTTTTGAGCGTTTTGTAGAGCGTTCGTCAAGCGTAGAACGCGCTACAAAACGTTCATGACTAGGATATAAGCCGCTGAAAACACTTTCACTCCAGATTCTTTTCATGACTAAACTGTTGAAAAAGATAAAACCACAATGAAATGTAATATATGAGCTGTATGTTCACAAAGAGGCAAACATGAAACAGGAAGACCAAATAACAATTATCCATGGGCACATGTTTGTTTAAAGGGTATGTAAACCCTAACATTAAACTTATTTGGGTCCTAACCCCCCTGTCTTGTTTTGTAATTGCACTGTCTCCCTTTATGTAAAGTGCTGTGTAAATGGCTGGGGAATAAATAAACCCTGAATAAAAACATTATTATTAACAACAATAATAACAATAATAATGATAATAATAATAATAATACTACATTTAAAGTATTTTGTTGGAGCTGTTCATGAAGGGCAAAAAAAAAAAATCTGACGATCCTGCTAGAAATCCAGTTAGCTTATATCCTGCGCTGCACTGTTAAAAGGAGAACTATGAGGCGAGTGCTTTTCACTCATCCTCATAGTTCTAGCCGACCTGTGACAATGAAACTGTCACAGGTCGGCTCAGTGAGCAAACACATACCGCCGCTCCCTCACTTCTCAATCTATCCCTGCAGAGAGCCGTGACTGTCACTCACGGCTCGCTGCAGGGATTCCCCCCTCCCCGCTCTGATCCTCCAGCACTGACTGGCGGAACGGACGGGGGAGGGGACGAGCACAGCTGGCTCTGCCTCTGGATAGGCAGAGCCAGAGGTCAATCCCGCAGCTGGGTGGCTTTTGACAGCAATGTCGGGATCCATCCCCGCTGCGGCTTCTCAGTATACCGCGAGCTGTAGCTCACGGTATACTGAGCTTTGGGTTAGTTTGTGTCCTCCCGTTACCCTTAGGAGAACTATGGGGAAAAGCCCTGACCCCATAGTTCTCCTTTAAGCCCTATCCAGTTCACTTTTGTGGTAGAGTAGTCCAAATATGCTTTCTGTCCTAGGGTGCCAATGCTGCTTCTCTACAGATACAGTACAGTGAGTGATTGTTGTTACCCTGGCACAGGAAGTCTGTTTTGGGCAGGATCACCAGGTGAAAATAAATAAAACCAAGCCTGAAACAAAAAAACTAATGACAACCTCCATATTTTTTCATGAACGGCCCTGTAAAGGAACAGAGAAATATTGGGGGTGCTATTGTTGCCCACTTTCTAACACTGTTTTTATTATTCATTTTCCGCCTTTGCCTTCAATACTTTTGATACATAGATAGGAAACTAGAATGCACATTAGGAAAGCCAGAATGTAACCACTTAGAAAGTATGGAAGCCACTGGAGCTAGTGTTTTCAGAAGGCAAGGTCAGAGATGGTTGCGCCCATATTTATTGCTAGAGGTTTACTTCTAATTGACCCTATGCTTTGCCAATGCAGGGCAAAGCAACAGATTTGCTTGAATATCAGCCCCAGCAGAATTTACTTCTCTTCCCTTTCCACTCTGACCACTGGGAGTGAACAAAATACCTAGATTATAATTTATCAAAACTGGGGCAGATCAAATCTGGAGCAGCTGGACATAGTAACCAATCCGCTTCTCTCTTTCATTTTTAAAGCTTAACCAAACAAACTGAAGAGAGGAGCTTGGTTGCTATGGGCAACTGCTCCAGATTTTGATAAATTCCCCCTAGTGTTTCCAGGAATGAGGATCAGTTGACTTATCATACTTTTCAGCTAACTGGCCTAATGCTTGTCGATTGCCTGCTCAGGCACCCGGCTCTGTCACATGGAAGTAATGACAGTTTAGGTACGAGGTCATGATTTGGAGCTTACAATGGGCTTCGTCACTCTCTGCAGATAAATGGTGCAAAAGGAGTGTAAGGCCCCATTCAAGCGTAGCGATTTATTGCGCGATTTCTGCCGCGATATCGCGAGGAGTCGCTGGCTAATGATATTCAATGGAGCAGTCTTAGCTCCATGTCGCGGTCGCAAGTCGCTTCTACAGGACCCTTTTTGCGGCGGATTTTACGCGATTTTGCTTTTTTCTAATGGAGCCCGACGGAGAAAGTCGCGCTACTGTCGCTGGATCGTCGCCCCGAAAGTCGCGCTATCCCGGCCGCTGCAAAAGGTATGTCGCTACATGTGAATGGGGCCTAAGAAAGCTGGTGAGGTGCAAAGAAAGTGAAATGGTTACTTTCCCTGTGGAGTACAAGTTAATTTTGAGAAGGTATGAATGATCCCCAGGAAAGCCTGCTTCCAATTCAGTCCATATCGGTATTTCTCATAAAGAAGAAAAGGAGCCAAAGCCTTCCATATATTCATATACAAATATATATCCAACCAAATCCTGAGCTTTTATGAGAATATTAGCGATAATGACCTTGATAGCTTGCAGTGATGAGTGCCTGGGAAACTTGTCATATGCACTTGCAGTGAAACAAGCACATGCACGTCATCTTCCCCTAATAGCTACAGAATGATTAAGCAGCATGCCACTTCTAATTTTAATATATGACGGGAAACACACAAGGCCAGTACAGAAATATTACTTTGTGATAAGAGTTTAAGTAAATTTACTTAAAGGAGAATTATGAGGCGCTATACTGAACTTTGGGTGATGGGAGGGCGCTAGTTTGTGTCCTCCCAATACCCTTAGGAGAACTATGGGGAAAAGCCCTAACCCCATAGTTCTCCTTTAAACTCTGATGACATGTGAATGCCTTTAACCTTAAAGTGTGTTTCCACTTTTTCAGCCAAATAGGGATAACATCTATTTTATATTTGTTACATGTTCCCATTCACTAGAGCTGCAGCTAACGATTATTTTTAAAATCGGTTAGCCGATTATTAAGTGTGATTAATCGGTTAATCGGATAAAAAATAAAATACATTTTTAAAAATGGCTCCAGTGAATCACATCACATAAGTTTAAAAAAAAATGCTTCTTGCTGTTTAAACTGCTTCTCACTTGGGTTAGGATTATAATGATTTATATTTCTTTATGCTTCTCTTTCTTTAAAATGTTAGGAGGGGCTGTGAGGGATATCAGAGAAACACAATCCAGTCCATTTCCATTAGCCCTCATTCACACTTGAGCAAGATCAAATATGCGTGTTTTCAGTGAATTTTGTGTAGCACTCTCAGACATAAAGTCACGTGTTTTTGCAAGCAGACTAACTGTTACACCATTGGTAGTGGTAGCGTTTTTCTGGAGTTTTCTTAATTAACAAAATGTAAGTGTCTTAAAGGAGAACTATGAGGTGAGTGCCTTTCACTCACCTCGTAGTTCTAGCCGACCTGTGACAATGAGACTCACAGGTCAGCTCAGTAGATCAGGAAGTGAGCGAACACATACCGGCGTTCGCTCACTTCTCGATCCTGTGACAGCTCTCTGCCGTGACAGGGGAGTGACTGGATTCCCCCCTCCGCGCTCCGATCCTCCAGCACTGACTGGCGGAACGGACGGGGGGGGCGGGTACAGCTGGCTCTTCCTCTAGGTAGGCAGAGACAGCTCTCACTCACGTAGCTGGGTGGATCCAGACATCATTGTCGGGATCCGCTTCAGCTGCGGCGTCTCCGTATACCGCGAGTTGTAGCTGGCGTTATACTGAGCTTAGGGTGACGGGAGGACGCTAGTTTGTGTCCTCCCGTTACCCTGAGAACTATGGGGAAAAGCCCTAACCACGTAGTTCTCCTTTAAATAAGTATTCATCTCGTCTGAACCCTTTCCACATTCTGCGGTGTTATAAACTGGAATTTACATGATATTGCTGATCCAAACAAAAGAGACCATAATGCCAAAGTGAAAAACAATCTACATAGTATTCCACATTATTTACAAACCCTTGAAAATTCTTCATTGTATCAGTGTTAAAGAAGAACTCCAGGAAAAACAAATATTAACTCTTGCAGTGGGGGTAACCTCCACTGAAAGGGTAAACTGCTTGTTTTTGTCTAAGTGCAAAAAAGTTGTGATCGCCTGAACCGCAAAGCTGGCTTTTTCTTAGACCGGTCCTTCCAGCCTCTCTCCCCTTCCCCTGCAGCCATTTAAGGTCCCATAAATCATCACGTTCTATACACAGTGTATTGACGTAAGGATGCTGAGGAACAATCTAATGCTGCGGAAGAGGAAAGAGGCTGGAGGGAGCGCTGTGACAGCCATCTGGCTTGGCGCTTTAGGTGAGTATAACTTTGAGAACTTAGACAAACATGAGCACTTAACCCTTACACTGCGGGAGTAGCCCCACTGCAAGGGTAAACGCAACATTTTCTTGGAGTTATTCTTTTATTGGGGGAGGGAATTCATATGCAAGACACTGCAGTTAAGTACAAAAAAAAAAGTTGAAAATATTCAATGACTTCTGTATATGTTGTGAACCAAACTAACGTGCGCTAACGGAAATAGTAAAACTAAATTAAGATGGATTAAAATTTAAAATAGATATTAATATGACCCCGGAGCTAAAATTTCTAAAACCAAAAAGGAAAAAAGCTGCTGAACTCAGGCTAAAAGCCTACAGAATAATGGTGTAATGAAGTGTACAGCGCTAAATGCCCTTCAGGAAATTAGATAACGGTAGGGATCATATGGTGTCACCTCCGTGTCAAGCAATCGTGAAACAGTGTATATATAAATACTATAAGTTTTTACACAAATATTTATTATATATACACTGTTTCACGATTGCTTGACACTTAGGTGACACCATATGATCCCTACCGTTATCTAATTTCCTGAAGGGCATTTAGCGCTGTACACTTCATTACACCAGACTTCTGTATATGAATATCAGTAGACCTTATTTCTCACAATTGCCATTCTATAGGGGAACCTCAGGGGAGCAATAACATGGGATTGTCCAAACATTGACAGCCTAGTAGGCACGCAAGCAGTTCAAGATCACCATGTCACTCATTATAAACTACAAGGTCATCCCTCATTAAAGTGTATCTGAACCCCCTAATCAAAACTTTGTATGTTGCAGCTTACCTCTTTCATTATTTGAAGTGGTATTAAACTTTCAACTTTTTTTAAATATTGCCCAAGGACCTTTAAATCATCATGTTTCCAAACAGCTGACTCCAACTCCCTCAGCTCAGCTTCCCTGAACTTCCTGTCCAGTACATGATCACGTTACAGAACAGTCTCCAGCAGTGGACAATCTACATAATCAGAGAGGGGAGATGTGAGGAAGGAAGATCAGGGAGTGCCTTGCCTTGCTGTGTCTGTATGTTTGTGGAACATATACGGATGCCCTGCTGCACTCCTTACCGGATATCCCAATGAAAGATGGGTGCCGGAATGACAGCAGATGGCGCCGATTGGAAAAGAACATGGCCATAATGTCACCAGCACACCATAGTAAAGTGTGCAAAGAAATGTCTGTTTTTATTGACACATATCACTTGTAAACTTGAGACACACAGCTTACTAGCGCTCACAAGGGTGGCTCTATAAGACCCTGCAAGGGAAAGGAGCCACCCTAAAACAGGATACAGAGGCCAGTGCTCAGGAGACCCGCTGATTCTGCAGGAAACTAAAACTTTTAAAACATCAAGAAGCAACACCCATTGTAAGCGATTTTATCAGAATTTGAAAAAGCTTAAAAAAAACATTTGACTTTAATATCACTATGTTTTTTTATTCACCTGGTGATCTTGCAAGTAACTCACTTAATGTCCTAGTTGACAACATTTATTCGCTGCACTAGGTCTGTGGAGGAGCAGTATTGTCACCCTGGGCTGCTCTCCTGATTTACACTATAAACACCTCGTTTCTCCTTTACATATGGGGAAGGTGTTCTGCAGTTGTTTGTATTATCTGTACTTACAGAAAATGTGTGTGGCCTGAAAAGAACAAACTAATGCAGCCACCACATCTAAGAGCTGGTAAGCTGCAATATTACATTTTTGTGTTCTTGAGTTTAGATATGCACTGCTGTTGCACAAAGCTATTGATTTGATCCATTTGCAGTCAGTGGAAGCAGCAGGACTGTGCAACAACAAAGCTAAGGTTACCTTGGTGTACGTAGTCAGCGTGAATGATTTTCTTTACAGACTGGATGGCCGGTAACTGGAGGTTAGGTCTCAAACGTGCTTCTCAGTAGCATTTTTAGATAACAATTCTGAAAAAAGAAGATGGGAGGAATCAATTACAAATAACTAAAGAACGTTACCCAACAACATACCGTATTTGCCGGCGTATAAGGCGACTGGGTGTATAAGACGACCCCCTAATTTTCCACTTAAAACATAGGTTTTGGGCAAAACTCGTCATATAAGACTACCCCACTTCCGAGGCAACACCCTTTAAAAACATCATGGATGGATGTGCAGTAATACTGTATGTACGGTATCTTCAGCTACATACAATTTACTGCGCTGAGCCGATCACGGCGAGCAATGTATTCTATTAATGAATACAAAGCCTGCTTGGATTGGCCGAGGTTGTGTACATCGCTCGCCGTGATTGGCTCAGCGCGGTATACAGTATGTAGCCGAAGCTACCGTACATACAGTATTACTGCACATCCAGCGGGCTGACAGATTAGGGATGTTCGTTTTGGGCCAGCTTGGCCCAAATGAACTAAAGGTATACATTGTATACCCCGCGTATAAGACGACCCCCGTGTTTCGGGGGATGTTTTTAAGTATAAAAAGTAATCTTGTACGCCAGCAAATACAGTATGTCACAAACTCAGAGTAATGAACTCAATGCATATTAATACACAAACATTCTTTTACCATTACATTCTCTACAGTCTTAAGAAGTCACACTTCCTAAGCAGGACAGCTATACAATGTTGATAAAACATACACTGATAGTGCAGCATGAATAATGCCTGAAAAACAATAAATGGTTAAAATATAACTGCACTTCCCTTACACAGCAGTCTCAGAAAAATGCAATCATCATCAGTTCCCTTTGCCAAAGAGAAGCCCTTTTTCCAGGGCACTAGTGAGTGCACTTCTCTGGCTTTGAAAGTTGATCTAGCTGTGCTACGCTTTCTGCAGAGCAGGACTCCCGTCTCCAAACAGAGCTCTCTGGTGGTGGCCAGAATATATTCACAACAAATATGGATCCAAGAAAAAGGCCAAGCTGGGATTCTAGATTAAGTTAAAGGAGAACTATGGGGTTAAGGCTTTTCCCCATAGTTCTCCTTAGGGTAACGGGAGGACACAAACTAGCGTCCTCCCGTCACCCTAGGCTCAGTATACCTGAGCGAGCTACAGCTCGCGGTATACTGAGACGCCGCAGTATACCGCTATATATATTTATGTCACATTCACCTTTGATCAAGAAAGATCATCATTAAAACCCTACCACTTCTCCCCCAAAGACTGCATTAGAATTATGGAATCAGGGGTGTAGACATTTTTTTAAATGTCCAATTTACCTGTTCAAGAGACTTAAGCTGGGGCCCAATCTACTTGTCGTGATGCAATACATAAATTTTAACCAAAGCCGTATTTAACTGTACTAAGAAGCGCTTCTCATTAATGACTGCACTGACCAATGAGTGGTCACAAACTGCGCGCGAAATTCAAAATCCATAGCATGGGTCTACGCTGGATGGGAGTACAGGGTATGGATAGTGCACATGTACCAGCAGAGCGGAAGGACCATTCAACGAACAGTAAGTATAGTCAGGGGGATGGGGGCCAGATTGGAGCGGGTAATCCTATTTTCCCAAACTCCTTGGGAAAGTGAACTTAACCTTTAATGAACATTGTTCGTTTTAGAGTGCTGCTGTCTGGCTACCACAATATGGCACACACACACAATGCCACATGGATGCATGGCTGGGAGCGGCAGATGCCCAGCGCTGCCCCTCCACTCGGGGCTTGTCATTACAATGAGATAACACAAGTAGAAAGCAGCAAATGTGTATAAGAATGCACTGTCCATTCTAGGGCCGTAGAACAAAGGCGTGCCTTTATACCGACCCCGCCACCACCTTCCAGTACCCAACTCCCTCCTCCCCCTTTTCCTCTCCTCTTCACCTTCCACTCCCCACTGGACTATCTTGTTCTCAGCGGCTTCAAAGGCTGCCGGCAAGACTGCTTCCCGGCCAAGATTGTACAGCCGCCCAGATCACTTGTACAAAATGTGTCGGCTCCCCTGCTAACGCGGCCAAAAGCTTTAACCCTTCTTCTTGCCCACAGCAGGGCGGAACGTATCAAATGAAAACAAAAAAACACCTGCCCGCTGAAAGGAACCGCAATGTTACAGCCGTCGGGCTAAAATTTGCATATCCCTGTTAGAAATAAACTGATTAGAGGTGAGTATTGAAATATGATACTACGCGTGATCAATTACAGCCAATCAAGTTTTCACTACACACTTTGAAGATACTGCTATTAGCCCCCACTCACACTTGTGTAGTGCGTCATTGTACATTGCATTTATGAGCATTTCTGCGCATCTGTCCAACTTCACACACAGGGCAGCCCCTTCATTTCTAATAATTTTATGGAGCATCAAGCTTAGCGCATTTGTTGTGCGCCTCTTCCTTGGCGCATTTGGGGTGCTATTTACAATGAATGGCACCACAAGGGTAAAAGGCATATTTCACATATTTCGTGAACGCACAGAAAGATGGGGAACTTTGTGCATGGGGACTGGGGAATGCCCCCACACTTGTGCTCCACTGAGAACGAAGTGCCCTGCATGGCAGAGGGAGCTTGCTTTTTCAATCACAGATCCGGAGAATGAATGGTGCAGCTGTGCGTTTAGAGTCACACACAGGTGTGCTGAATTCAAAAATACACAGGAGCATTCGGGGAAGCACCATGGTTCCCTGTTACATCCTAATTATGGAACATGGTATGAAAGGCGGAATTAGTCTTTAAACTAAATGCACAAATCTTACATTCTAAGCCCCACTATTAGGAGAAATGTTTTATTCTGATGACTGCCGCAATGGCAGAGGGGACTTGTAATCTCTCCAAATGTACAAGAAGTAGTCACTCGCACACCTAGGTTCAGTCCTTTTATTGACGTCAGATACAAATGGCATCACAAGTACAAAGCAACGTTTCGGAACCTAGCATGGTCCCTTCATCAGGCAGGAAACACAATTGTAGTCTCTCCATTCACAAATCCTGACAAAGGATCTGTGAATAGATGATGTGGCTGTGCAGGCAGAGCCACACACAGCCATGCTACATTAGAAAAATTACAACAGAATGCAGAGAGAAAAACTTCCCAGTTCAGGTAAGTGGGGGGCTATTGAGGTCACCGCGTTTTATGTCACATTCTCAATATGAGTGTAACATGAAACATAGTATGAAAAGTAAACTTAGCCTGAGCAGAACTCCGGGTTAAAGTTTTTTTTAACCGCTGCAGTGGGGCTTCCCCCACACTGCAAGGGTTAAGTGCTCATTTTGGTCTAGGGTTAAAAATAAATAAAACAGTTATACTCACCCGATCATCCGAGCTAGTTCACTCTTAGACTGGTGCCTGGAGCCTCTATCCCCTCTGCTGCAGTGGTCTAAGGTCACTGGGTTATCAACTTCCTATACAGATTGTATAGGACATGAGGATGAAGAGGGACATACCATCGCGGAGGAGAGTATAACTGTTATTGATCAAAACGATCAACTGATCAAAAAGAGTAGCCTCACTGCAAAGGTTAAGAAAACAATTACCCGGAGTGGTTCTTTAATCCTCCTTAGATCAGACAAAAAACAAAGACATCGATCAAACAACAACAGTGTTTGTACTGCCCTCCAGCAGCCGGATCCGTTCACAGCTCTTCCTCCAGACACATGAATAAATGAGCCAGGACATCATTAAACAATCTTAAACTTATATGAAAATGAAGTGAGGCCCCCACTACATAAATCATAGTGGCTAAACAGAACTAGAAAGATGGCCGGTCTTGTGTGGAGACAAGCTTCTCACAGCTATGGGAATCTCACTGAAATAGCATGTTGTGTAATCAGATCTGAAGGGATTTATCTGGCATGAGCTGTAAAAGACGACAAAGTCAATGAACTCACTTATGATCCATTGTCCTAGTAACCTGCTGGCCCAGTTACCTACTTTCCCTGCAAGGGCTCAGTTCATTGCACATAGCTTTACGTTTTCAGTTCAACACAAAAACAATAACACAAAGAAGTGCGAGCTATTTTAGAAACACCAGACTAGAAAATGTGGCACATATTAGGAAGGCCATCATACAAAGATGTTGTAGAAGTATACAAATATCTGCATTTTCTTTAGGTTTAATGTTTACAGTAGCACAATGATTATACATAAATACAAGGACTTAATGCTCTCCGGTATACGATGCATCATCGCTGACGTAGTTTGTCACTGAGGGCTCTTTATAACAAGAGAGCAGATTCACTTTCTGCAGGACGCCGCAGCGTTTTCCCCATAATGAGTCATTTATAAAATGCAAGTCGCGACGTGGAGCCCCTGATGTAGGTCATAGTGATCACTGCATAATCCTGCTCAGGAGAGCTCAGTTACATGACTGCCAATTCCAGGCTCCCCCACCCAAAACGTTTTAGTTACCTTTCAATAAAATAATGTGAGGGGAATTTATCAACACTGGAGCAGGCAGAACCTGGAGCAGTTGTCATTGGCAACCAATCAGTTTCTATCTTTCATTTTCAAAGCTTGAACACACTGAAGATGGAAGCTGATTGGTTGCCATGTGCAACTGTTCCAGATTCTGATTGCTCCAGTTGTGATCAATTCCCCTCCGTGTCTTTACTTGACTCGTTTACACCAGCGGGAGCACGTTATGGTGTGTAAACCACGTGCACGCTGTTGTGTGGTGTGCACCTGTTTGATTACAGCACACCAGAGTTTACATTTTTTTATTTTACTTTATTGAAAGTTAACAAAAAGCACTTTTATACAATTCTATGTACAGCAGTTCGCTGTGACACGCTGTCGTGCTTTGCACAAAAATGTAGATATGCTGCATTTTTATACAACGCACCCTTTGGCCCCATTCACACTGTCGTATAATACACTGCGCATAGATGCACGTTTTTTGCCATAGACATAGATGTATATGAAGATGCGCAAAAAAAAATGGAACCGAGATGCGTCCGGGCTTGGAATTA